GGCCGGGCGGGCTCGGCCGAGCCGGCACCCCCCTCTCCGGCGGAGGTCGCGGGAGCCCGGTTAGAGGAGGCGTGCGTAAAGATTTTGCAATGTCCCTGCATGGTGTTGTAGACTTTCCTAGCCAAGAAACCGGCTTCGGCTTCTTGCAAATCCCCGACGACTCACCTGATTAACCTGCCTGCGGTTCTGCCCGGACCAGGTAACGCGAGCCCGAGCCTCCTGACCTTCCCCCGGCCCCGGGCACGTCTGCAGGCCCCCCGCATCTGGGGCAGGGGTTTTTTTTGTGGGTTTTTTTTTTTTTTTTTTTTGCTGGGAGCCGAGAGGAGCTCTCTGACTACCCCCCCACTTCTTCCTCCTCCTCCTCCTCCTCCTCCCACCTTCAGCCCCTGCCCCATTGCACTTGCTGAGGGTCAGTCCCTAAAAATAATCCGGAGACTCAGACTCCTCAGACTTCAGCACCCAAGGACCCCGCAAGGTCAGCCGCCCAGCTGGAGCTCTCGGCCAGTTTTTTTTTTTTTTTTTTGGGGGGGGGGGGGTTGGTTTGGGTTTTTTTTTTTTGTTTTTTTTTTAATATTTTGGTGCTATTTTTATTTCTGCTGAGGGATCCAAACCCCAGTAGGTTTTGTCCTGCTTCCCCCCACCCCCCTTCCCTCCCCCCTTCCTTTGCCAAGGATCAAGAGCGCTGTGAAAGTGCCAGACTTTGCGGAGTTAGGGACGGGGTCCTGGGGTGGCTGCAAAAGGGGAAGGGGAACTTGGCTGGAAGGCACTGATCCCTGTGTAGCTGCTGCCCCGGCTGGCGCTCTGCCTCCCTCAGCTCCCCCTGCTTTTCCAGAGAGCTCAGAAGTTCATTCAGGCTTCCTGGCTGGCTGCTTTTTGGGTCCCCAGGGTGCCAGGAGAAGCCCCCATGGCACTGCTTCCCCTAAATGCTGCACAGAGTCAGGGAGAGAGGGACAGACCCACTCAGGGAGGGAGAGAAAGAGAGACGCTTCCCCCCTCTTCCTCTCCACCCTCTTCCTCCTTCCTTAAACATTTCTGAGAGTGATTCACAAGAGCCAAACAGGCCTGGTGGAAACCTTGCATGCCGGTGTTGGGGAGGGGGATTGTTCTTCTCATGTCTTTTCGCTCCCTCTAGCCTCCTTGCTTCCCTGAGGTTGTGAATTTGCCACATGGGGCTGGGAAAGCACGTTTTCTCTGTTTGTGTGGTAGTGCCAGAATCAGTGGACGTGGACTTAGACCTTACCCACAAAGAAGGCATTTGCAAGCACAATGAGGGAGGATGAGGGGAAGTGTGGAAAGTGCATGCAGACCAGACAAGGTTCCTTAGGCAGCTGTGATCTCTTTTATTAGACCAACTAAATAGTTGGGAAAATTGTTTTTTTGTAAGCTTTCGGGTATAAACACCCTCCTTCACGAAGGCAGCGCATGTGGATCACATCTTGATGGCCCACCCTCCTGGCTCCAAGCATGAGGGTGTTTTGTTTTTTTTTTTTTGAAAAGTGATCTCATGTTCAGATCTAAAATATGACCTGCCTGCCAGGATTTTTTATTTATTTATTTATTTTTGCCCTGAACATTCACAGGAGCAAGTGGTCTGAGGATATATTTTGAACTGCTGCAGGGGAAGCTCTCTGATTAGTTGGTCTAGCGGAGTGGTTTATTGCAGCGCCAAAAATCTGGCAGGAGGACTGAATTAGGAAATGAGCAAAGGATGAGAGTGGCAAATAAAAAAGATGAGAATTCAGACACAAGGAAACTAGAGGGGGGTGAGGTTAGAATTTGAGGGGCTTTATTCCTTTCATTGTGATATTTTTACCCAAGCTCTGTGATTTTGATGTTAAGAGGACTTGAACAAAAAAAAAAAGAGAGAGAGAGTACCACCAGCTGTGTAAGAGAGGGAAATTTGAATTCTCTTTAAATAAAAGCCAGTGCAGAGGTAGAACATAGAACAGCTCGGTCGTTCTGTAAGGGAAGTGCATGAGATATAGCAGGAAGTTAGTAGGAAAACAAGATTTGACATCCTCTGTTTTTCTTCCCCTTCCTCCCTCAGTTTTGCCCTTCCAACTTAAATATGAAGTATCAAACTTATTTGATGCGCAGTTGTTTCTCAGATTTCACTCTAAAGTACGTAATGCTAAGTTTAAATGTGAAGACCGCCCCCCCCCAACCACATGCATTCAATTGTAAGCATGGGCATTCAATATTGTATTGCACTTCCATAGGAAATACCCAAGGGATTAGAACCAGGAACTGATTTATGTGATTAAATTCTTGTTCCCTGTGTGTAAAGTATCATTGTAACCACTTTGTGTGTGTATGCTAGTTTCTTACAGTTCTCCTTTAAGGGGACTTTCAGTTTCAAATATGCAAAGGGCAGAGGAAGGTAAACATGGCTTTTAACGTGTTCGGTATCAGAAACATAGCAAATAAATCAATTACATTAACGGTGTTCAATACCACACTTATTCTGCTCTATTTTTTTCAGAAATTAAAAGGTTACCACTAGAGCACTATATCCATATCTCTAACCTAGCGCCACTTATTATTGCAACAGTATTTCAATATTAAGTGATCTTAAAGATATTTCATCTTTCATTTTGAATCCTGAATTTGAATCAGCATTAGAATGTCAGAGCTGCAAGATAAGGTATAACAAGCTAAGTAGACAGCTGAAGGGTTCCTGGTGAAGGTGTTGCTGAGAAGGATATCTCGGTCTGTTCTCGGTAACCTTGTTTACAGGGACATTTCAATTGCAACCAGAATTTCAGCAAGAGGCTGCCTAGACTAATGTCTGTGTGTTTGAAGTTGATCACGAGTGTCTTTTTTCACTATAAACATACATGCCTGAGCAACACTCATGTAAACTTTTCTGGAAGGTTATGATGATTTTTTTTTTTTTGTCTACCAGAAAGGCAGATTTTTGTGCTGGTGTACAGTAGAACAAATATTTATGAAATTATAGTTTGGTTCGGTTTGATGCGTTAGGCAGGAGCAATTCACGGGTCTTCTTAATGTCATGTGTATAGGCTTTGATTTATTTGACTTAAGTGTCATGATTTATTAATACATTTTACAGCACGCTAAGTCAGTTTGAGGTAAAATTTGAAAAATGAATATACTATAACAGGTAACACTTATGCCTTGATTTGCTGAATTTTAGTCATTCTGTTTTAAAATAACATTTGGAGAATAATACAAATTTAGAGACTTGGACTTAAACACCAGAAGCTACATTAATGAAGAAAAATGCTGTTGAAATACTTTTGAATAATAAATAAGATATGGAATGGTCAACCACAAGATAAAAATTTTACACTGTTTTTATGACTCTAAATTGGCTGCATTGTAAACTAAGCTTACTACTCTATTAAGTCATCCTACTTTTCAATTATTTAACATTTCTAGCCATGCAATTTAGTCTTCATTGTGTATATCAGAACATTATATATAAAGTAGTCGTCACTTGTTAGTTTGTCCGGGTTTTGTGGTGAATCAGGGTTTAATTTTAACTTATCAGGACAAATATTACCAAGTATGCACACAGCAAAATGATATGGAAATAGCCCCAGTCGTATGAAATGGGGATAGTTACAGCACTGAAATGTACCTAATACAATTTGAGATCCACTCACTAAGAAACCTTGACAGTATCTGCCTTCCAGGTACTGTGCATTTGGAAATACTGTATCTCCATTTAAATGCAGATCTTCTGTTTTCTCCAGGGGGCAGTTGGTGAATCTTTCGATTGAACCACTGGTACTAGAAAAACTAACTGAAGATTTCCCCATGAACAAGAGAACCTTTCATGTCTGCCTGTTTGAAATAATGATTATAAAATTTCCTAATATTGCAGTTTTATATTGATTTTAAATGCCTTTTCAAAAGTCAAACCAAAGGAATTGTGCCTTTTGCTCAAACAAAGCAGTTTTATGTTTTCACCTTTATTTAGGGGGCTTAGAAGATATAACCATTACAAATAAGTTCTTTGTTTTTACATTGGTATTGTGTTTGCATGTGAATTTCATCAAAGGGACAGAGCAGTCTTCCTCTGATTTGACCTAGATTCCTCCTGATTATTCCTATACTGCCAGTACCTTGCTATTTCCCACTGTGAAAATAGGTGAGCAACTGTTGATGCTATGTAGCTGGGGCTGCATGGGCAATGGGCATATACAGGCGGTTAACTCCCTCCCTTCTTGAAGACTTCATTATTAGACCTATGTGAAAAAATGTAGCTTGACTGAAAAAGGGATTCAGACAAATATTTTCTTTGCTTTTGGTTCACGTAGATTTGGGTTTTGGGTTCAAATAAGCCAGCACAACCCAGTTGAACCTGGGAGGTTTGGGTTTTTGTTTGTTTGTTTGTTTTTGCATGTTGAAAACATGGGTTTTATATGATTGCAAGGATAAATTGGACCACGTTTGCTTGAAACAGAGGCCTGCTTCTGCAGACCCTGGCCCTAGTTTTAGTATAGGGTCATATTTGCCTACAG